GCAAAGTTTTCTGTTTGGTTTTTGTTTTTTATAAACAGGTCTGGTATACACTAACTGGAGCTCACAGGTGGCTCAGTGGTAAAGAATCCACCTGCAATGCAGGAGACAGGGGTTCAATCCCTGGAGAAGGAAATGGCAACCGACTCCAGTTTTCTTGCCTGGGAAATCCCTTGGACAGAGGAGCCTGGCAGGGTACAGTCCTTGGGATCAGAAAGAATCAGACACTACCTAGCAACTAAACAGCGGCATATACTGACTATTCTAGGGTTCGGAGGTCATTATTTTATTCATAAGAGTATTCTCTAGTATATTATTTCATAAATAACTCTAAGTTTATGAACAAGAATAGTTAAACTCTTCTGACAACATTGAAAAGAACACAAAAAGCAAGGAGACTTTTCCAACTGTCATACAGGAAAGTCAAATTGAAATTATGGGACATCAAAAAGAAAAATTAAACTGTAGTATTTTGAATTATTGTGCCATACACCCGCAAAAGTGGATTTCACCCTCACTGGGTCAAACTTCAAATACCAGTAATGCTATTTTTCTCACAGTAGTTCAGTCTAAAGCTGCACCATTCGACACAGTTTTTAAATATCATTTGATCAGTAGTGCTCCTCTAAAATACAGCAGTGCTTTTTAAACCTCATATTTTGTTCATATATTCTGGCAACTAGGTCTCAGACCCTACATTCTTAGGTTTAAAATATGTCAACTACATATATTCCCACTCCAAACATGCACTATACCAATTTTCAAAGGTTTAGGCTGGAAGCTGACAAATTTGATTAAAATGACTGATTCATGGAGTCAATAAATGAAAAATGAGTGGAAACATTGGAAGTCAAACAAATTCAGAAATCATAAAATGGCAAACTCAGAAGTAAATTTCACCGTTGAATCATTCAATAGATGTCAATGACACCTTTGTCAAAGTCAAGTTGTAAAGCTTTTGAGAGATGCTTCAATGCACAGAACAGTTTTATAATTAATCACCTAGTATGTGGCCAAGAAATAGATGTCACTTTTTGCCCTCAATAAACATGCAGTGGCAAAGGCGAATTCCTGACAATTTTAAGAGGTTTTCACTTTGCTGACGAATGCTTTATGAGAAAGCATAGCCTAAGAGAGTGAATACAACATAAGTGAGGTTTTGTAGATATACAAAAGATCAATTATATACGCATGTTTGTGTGTGTGCATGTGTTTAAATGTGTTTAAATTTTCAACTTTAGTCTTTAAATTATGCCTTGCCACTGTTACTTATTAGATGTGTGTAATTAATCTTTATAAGAAGTTCCTTCAGAAGAGTTAGAATATTTCACATCACTGGAACTATTGCTTTATAAACTCTACCAATGGAAGCACTTCTTCAAATAGAACTCTGAATTTTTGTGTATTTCTAGGTATGGATGAAAAATTCATAGCAATTAATACAGGGTGTATTATTTAAAGAGCTGTCAGAAGGAAGAATATCATTACTAACCAATATTGTGGGTGTTTACTTTTGTACTTTTTTTTAAAAGTAAAATTACTTAAAGGTGTAAGTTTATACAAAAATATAAGCAAGAATTTAGAGAATCGTTACAGTTCATAGTCAGATCCTAATACTGGAATTCATTATCATTAATTTCCTTTCCTCTGTTTTTTCATTTCACATGCATATTAGGTATAGAAAATGGACCACAGAATGGCCATATCTGCATTATCTGAGGTTGCCTAACTAAGAATGAGGTCCTAGAAAAGAGCAGAGGATACAGAAAGAGCAGTACTCTGAAACACAGAGAAGATATTAACCCAAATGGAAAAAAAAAAATGATAACGCTGTTTTTCTATTGGTTTTCTGGCCATATCAAAAGTGAAAATCACATCACAAGGTCACTGGTACCAAATAGCCCTGTGATGGCTCAGAATGCCCATACCCTTGACCTCTCTGCCAGTCAAGAAGGCATCTGGCTGGCTCCCTAAACACAGATGCTGTGACGTCACCATCTTCCAACTATGCTTGGCTTTCTCTAAGCCTACTCCAAATTAGGGTTGGAAGGCCTTCCAGAGCACGAGAAAAGCATGCAAATCGTACATTATCACATCAGGTTTTCTCAAACAGCACTTGATCACACTATGCTGAGGTAAACTGTGTTGATGTTACACTGATAAATACTGCTAAAAATCAAGTGCTCATTAAATAGGGTTTGAACATTTTTTATTTCAGAGAAATTATAATTGCAATGGAATTTCTTCTTCACCTTTCAAGTTCTGCCTCTTCTCTGACATCTTTTAGTAGTGCATAAGCTGGAAGTAATCTTTCTCTATTTTGACCACACATCGTAAATATATTTCAATACAAGGCAATACATCCAATGCATTCCAATACATACATTGGCATTTGTGATCCTTTATTTTGCAGTGCACTTCTTTATTTATGTACATGTCTCAGCTCTTTAATTGGACTGGAGGTTCATAACATTTCAGGAAAGCAAGACACTAGAAAATGCATATATACTCACATTAAAAACATTTTATGGGCATGCATTTAGTTGGAAAACTCAGCAGTGGACACAGGACTGGAAAAGGTCAGTTTTCATTCCAGTCCCAAAGAAAGGCAATGCCAAAGAATGCTCAAACTACCACACAATTGCACTCATCTCACATGCTAGTAAAGTAATGCTCAAAATTCTCCAAGCCACACTTCAGCAACACGTGAACTGTGACCCTCCAGATGTTCAAGCTGGTTTTAGAAAAGGCAGACGAACCAGAGATCAAATTGCCAACATCCGCTGGATCATCAAAAAAGAGAGTTCTAGAAAAACATCTATTTCTGCTTTATTGACTATGCCAAAGCCTTTGACTGTGCAGATCACAATAAACTGTGGGAAATTCTGAAAGAGATGGGACCACCAGACCATCTGACCTGTCTCTTGAGAAACCTACATGCAGGTCAGGAAGCAACAGTTCGAACTGGACATGGAACAACAGACTGGTTCTAAATAGGAAAAGGAGTATGTCAAGGCTGTATATTGTCATCCTGCTTATTTAACTTATATGCAGAGTACATCATGAGAAACACTGGGCTGGAAGAAGCATAAGCTGGAATCAAAATTTCCGGGAGAAATATAAATAACCTCAGATATGCAGATGACACCACCCTTATGGCAGAAAGTGAAGAGGAACTAAAAAGCCTCTTGATGAAAGTGAAAGAGGAGAGTGAAAAAGTTGGCTTAAAGCTGAACATTCAGAAAACTAAGATCATGGCATCTGGTCCCATCACTTCATGACAAATAGATGGGGAAATAGTGGAAACAGTGTCAGACTTTATTTTTTGGGGCTCCAAAATCACTGCAGGTGGTGATTGCAGCCATGAAATTAAAAGACGCTTACTCCTTGGAAGGAAAGTTATGACCCACCTAGATAGCATATTGAAAAGCAGAGACATTACTTTACCAACAAAGGTCCATCTAGTCAAGGCTATGGTTTTTCCAGTGGTCATGTATGGATGTGAGAGTTGGACCGTAAAGAAAGCTGACTGCTGAAGAATTGATGCTTTTAAACTGTGGTGTTGAAGAAGACTCTTGAGAGTCTCTAGACTGCAAGGAGATCCAACCAGTCCATCCTAAAGGAGATCAGTCCTGGGTGTTCACTGGAAGGACTGATGTTGAAGCTGAAACTCCAATACTTTGGCCACCTCATGCGAAGGGCTGACTCATTGGAAAAGACCCTGATGCTGGGAGGGATTAGGGGCAGGAGGAGAAGGGGACAACAGAGGATGAGATGGCTGGATGGCATCACCGACTCGATGGGCATGAGTTTGAGTAAACTCCGGGAGTTGGTGATGGACAGGGAGGCCTGGCGTGCTGCAATGCATGGGGTCACAAAGAGTCAGACACAACTGAGCGACTGAACTGAACTGTAAGCATCTTCAGGCCACCACTTGTGTCTAACTCATCTTGGAATCTGTCTATTCAACGTTGTAATTTCCACACAGTAAGAACTTTCTAAATTGTCACATAAACACTCAATGCAGAAACAGAATGGAGAGAGAACAGGACTGTGATGAATTTTTCTTAGGGATATTTTTACCCTCCTGAAGTTCAGCTGCATGTCCTAGAATAGTACTCTCAGTACTGAGAGGATCTTAGGAGGTGGCTTTGGGCATGATGTAAGTGAACATCCTTTGTCTTTTCATCCTTCTGACTACAGAAACCTGAAAGGCTCAAATAGGTCCTAATACATCATTACCAGCACTTTAACTTTACCAATCTATTTCATTTTTTTTTTCCAAAAAGAGGTTTTATTTACTTTGGTCCACAGTTGGTATTTTCACATTATTTCTTGGTCCTAGGGCTCCTGGGCAGGGGTTGGTCCCTGTGGGGGCCTCTGGGTGGGGGTCCCTGTGTAGTACTTGGTGGGGGAGTGGGGACAAGTGTGGGGGGTGGAGGCTGGCTTTGTCTTAAGCACTCAGAACTCCACTGTCCTGCCTGGGCCTCAGTGTCCCCACTGGGTCCCTGGGAGGGCCCAGGATTGGTGGTCTGAGAGTCCTGGGGAAATCCATGAGGTCTAAAATATTCTGGGACTGTGGCCTGACCTTCTCTCAGCACCCCCCCACCCCCACCCACCACCACCATTTCCCTGAACAAAAAGTATTTTCATTTCATTAAAACTGCCTGAAACTTCTGTGGATACAGAAACCACAAACTGATGGCAGAGAAAAGAGAAGCAGGGAAGACGTAACTGGAAAACACTTGGGGCCAGTTCCCCTCCCTGCCTGGGTTTCTTCTTCCCCCTAACAGCTTGGCCCAAAGTCTACTTGGAAACCTGATGCCTGGAGCTGCCCTGGTGGGGACCCCCCACCCCACATGCATCTGGATATGGCCTTCATCCCTTTCCCCCAGAGTCTCAACTGCACCATTCAGACATGTAGAAAAACAAGACAAAAAACACAGAAAGACCTGAAAACCCAGATGGGGCGATGATGTGGGGAGACGGCCGGCATGGGTATCTCAGTAGCCTGCCTCCTCCTGGTAGTAGGGAGGGCACTCTGAGGGTTCCCCTGGTCCTGGACCATCTCCAGCAGCTGCCGGAGCCCCATCGGCCACTGGCCTTGAGGGCAGCACTTGGGGTCGTATATCTGCCGGCCCAGGCCAAACACCTGACCGCTCTGGTGGGCACCCCGTGTGTAGCCCACCTGCAGGGACATGGAGGAATTATCGCATTTGCCTGTCCCCAGCTTTGTGTTGTAAATGTGCCGCCGGGTCCCTGGAGCCGTCATGCCCACCTGGCAGCTGATGGTCGAGTGGCCCATGGTGGGCAGGATGTGGTTTTTGGGGTCGTGCAGATGCCGTCTGGTGCCATAAGCTGTCATGCCGGACTGGCTGGCACATTTGTTGGTGCCCATCTGGAGCCCAATGACGCACTGGCCCGCCTTCATGGTGGCATCATCAAAGTTTTGTTCCTGCTTCTCTGAGTATTTGACGCCAATGTCCACACCACGCTGGAGCCCCTCTGTCTTGGCCTTCCCAGCCAGGGCAAGAAGAGATGCCTGCACCCGAGTCAAGTTCCCACTTTCAAACAGGTCGTTAGCCTCAAACAGGTCGACAGGATTCATGCCGTAGCTCACCATGGCCTTGATGACATTGGAGAAGTTTTCTAGCTGGTGCCAGTTCTGCATGGAGCGCTTGATCTTAGGTATTGAGCCTGGCTGCAGTTTATTCATGAGTGTGCACAATATGATCCCATCCTTCAGACCCTTCTGGAAGTCTGGGCCAACGGAGAGGCCAGTGCGTCCCTCAATCCAGGTTCGGAGAGCCACCTCCTCCTGAGGGTCATATTTGGACTGCAGCCGGTTCTTGACATCGGCCAAGAGCCCGTACAGGGCCCCTTGTTGAACTGCGTGGAGCTCATGGCTGGCGGGCACGGCGCCGTGGGACTGGACAGACAGACCTACCAACCTATTTCATGAAGAAGGAGCAGGACTGAAGCCCGAGGCCTTCAGCAGGCAACAGGATCTCGCTAGAATGTAGTGACCTTGTGTTGTTTTCACTGTATTACATTTGTCTGCACCTTTCATTACTTCCCCTGATGGTGGTGTTTCACTGATAGCAATGAAATAAAATTTGCAACAGGATCTCGCTAGAATGTAGTGACCTTGTGTTGTTTTCACTGTATTACATTTGTCTGCACCTTTCATTACTTCCCCTGATGGTGGTGTTTCACTGATAGCAATGAAATAAAATTTGCAACAGGATCTCGCTAGAATGTAGTGACCTTGTGTTGTTTTCACTGTATTACATTTGTCTGCACCTTTCATTACTTCCCCTGATGGTGGTGTTTCACTGATAGCAATGAAATAAAATTTCCATTTTTAAGTCATTGCCTTTAGAATGAGCTAGCTAAAAATTTAAGTAAATTATGGTAGAAGGCACAAAGATAGGACAAAAACTGTGACGATGGTTACATTTCAGCGAGTACAGTCTCAGAGCTGAGGATTATTGAGTGACCTGTAACTTAAAGAAGAAAGGAGAGCAGGAAATGTATTGAGAAGACAGACAGGAACAGTGAGCTGTTCAGTAACGGGAGAGGGTCTCTAAGGATACAGGAAAATAGAGGGAATCATGAAGGCTGAGTCCGGCTGGATGTGGAAAGCAAGTGTGACAGTTACTTGGCGGTCAAAGCAGTGGGGAGCCGGGAGGAATTTTTAGGAAGTAAGTGACACAGTGGTCAAAAGTGACAAGCGAGAAAGGGGATTTTAACTGCGACATTTAGGTCTTAGTGGCGAAGGGTGACAATAAGAGGCAGAAATCCTGTGAGAGAAAGGTTGCCGTGGTCTAGTGATTAGAAGACTGAACAAGGAATTTTCCGGAATGGCTCATGAGAAATAAATCTTAGGGTGTCAAGAAGAAAGCTGAAGCAAGTTTTACAGTTGTTTAAAGTAGAGAAAGAATACAGAGGACAGAGAATAGCAAATTGCTAAAGGGAGATGAGAGAAAAGACACTCTCAGCTACAGTAAAAATATATTTTGCTATATCAAAAGAAACTACAGGGAAATCTAGGACTGCTTGTGTTCCAGTAGTCCCAAGCATCTTTTAAAATAGAAACTCATTATAGAAACCTCAACTTACAACTATCACCAATTTATGCCATTTGTTTCATTTTTTCCCTCAAATCCAAGAGAGCAGAACTTAACATTTATAAGGCTTCAGGTTATATCATCGAAAAATGAAACCTGTTCAGAAAATTTGTATTTCTTAAATAAGGAAACCTTTTATCAGTCACAAATGATTTGTCATTAAAAGACCTTTAAGACAAAATCAGACAACCTGAGTTCAAGTTCTGCATTCACACATATGAGTTTAATGAGTTTCCTTAACTTTCTGAACAGGATGAATACATACCTTGTGTAAATAACTAGCTGTTATGAGTTTCAAATTAAATGATGTACCTATACAGTGTCTTTCATTCAAAAACAATTCACAGCATTACCAGGATAGAATTAAATTCACCATAGCACAGCATTTTAGGGTTATGTACATTGCACATTGCCTGTTGAAATAATTTTTGAAATATGAAAAATGTGGTGCAAAACCTTTCAGCAAGACTTCAGGAGAAACACATCAACTCACTTTTATCAGAAGGGTGGGATTCACAGGTACAAGAAAAATAGCATGCATGGTTCCCAAGCAAGGAAAATGACATGCTATAGAAGGAAGAATATGATGGAAAGTTTTGAGAAAATAGAGAAGCAATGAGAACACAAAATGAACCTGCATTAGGCATGGTGGTAGCTGTTGTTTAGCTACTCTCAGTGACCATCTGAAGAGAAAGAAATATCCCAAGAAAGCTCCCCTGCTGAATATTCTTCACCTGCTTCTCGTTCTGTGACAGAAGATATAAGAATAATGGTCCTTGCTACCTGTTAGCATCTTCCCATTACAGTCATGCTTCTCAAAGTTACAGGTAAAGGAGGGATGCAACCAAATGTATAATCATCATTTCAGGCCAGGAAGCCTGCTTCCTTTTCCATCTGTGGCTGTAATGGACAAATAGAAGGAAATAGAGCAGCTCTTTTCTTTCCCTCCTCAAGTCTGGAGGTTTGCACAACCTAAGTAGTCTCCTTGATTCCTGGCATTCCAGTTTCACCTTGGCCCTTCTGACTCTGATGAAGAGCCTCCTGGTTCTCCCAAGCCACTTCTAACATAAAAAGAAAAGAGTTAAGGATAAACGTAAGTGGATCAGAGGACAAAGGCACCAGAAAAGCCCATCCCACTAAAGAATCTTTAGCCAAAACTATTCTTGGCCAACTCACCCCTCTTTTCTCTCAGTTCTAGCCTCTCTCTCCAGACAAAACCATGGGTGCTTCCACGGAGCCCACGTTCATCCCCATGTCACACTTCCTTCTCAAAGTCAGGTTTCTTTCTGAGCTGAAGATATTTAGGAAGATATTTAGGTATTTAGGAAGACTTAAGATATTTAGGAAATGAGGAAGAGAACGGAGTGTCCACTTGGGACAGAGAGTGGTTGTACTTGTTCGTTTTCTTCCACTTTCTAATCAATCATGTATGGAGTAAACAGTGTCACAGTAGGATTGATAATTCTGTTATGAGCATGACTTTTTACAGAATTTCTTCCTATCCTGTCTACTAGAATCCTCCAGCAATGTAGTTAGAGGAGTCCTCCCTTTGAAAAGGGGTTGGTCGTTGATGGCTTGGACCAGTGGATTACAGTAGAAGTGTTGCTCCAGGGCTGGACTTTAACAAAACTGACAGTTTTCTAAATTGAGCTCTTGGAGCCCTGAACCATCATGTAAAGTCCAACAGCCTGTTGGAGAGACTGGTGAAAAGGCCATGTGGCTACATGAAAAGGCAAAGGAGACCAGCTGAGTTCAATGCAACTGGACAAAGCAGGAGACATGCAAGCGAAGCCATCTTGGGACCACCAGCCCAGCTTAGCAACCATCTGAAAATCACCATGTGACCTCAGCTGTGATGTGGTAGAGCTGAAGAAATCACTCACAAAATCATGAGATTTCATAGAATGGAATTTTAACTTGTTTAAGTTATGGGTTAGTTTACCATGTAGCAGTAGATAAATCGGACAATGCCCCTTCACATTTTACAAATTGCTATTAATACATGATCACATTTCTGAATCAGTTTTCATCATTGCCCTTCTTAGCTACACATAAGCCTCCAGGTATTTTTCTTCCCAACAATAAGCAGCTTGCACATTTCCCCAGTAATCTCATATGCAAAACACATATCTGCTGAATTCTTAAACATATGGTGAATTCCCAGTACACAATTCAAAAAAGAAATGATGAAAATAACATGAACTCAACTTCAGAAGTCAGTGGAATGGTGATGGTACTTACAAATCAGTTTCCCTAAGTGATAGTAATAGTATACACAAATGCACCATGATTCCCTTGCAGTGGATGATATGAAATCTTATCTGCAAACAACAGTACCTTGGATAGTTACCAGTGCATTGCTTCTAGAAGAACATCTTGTAAAAGGTTTGGAGGTTTTATCATTGCTGTTTTGTATTTAACATTCTTAAGCAGCTGTATCATTAGTTAAGAGGGTTTTGGATGATTTTCAGATAAATGATCTCTACACCTATAGGTGATACATAAAAATGTTTCTCTGTTTTATCTCAAACTGTATTGTGGTTTCTTACTGACTCAGGACCAGCCATATACCCATAATCTCTGACTTGTCTTTTTCTAATCTTTCTATCCTTCTCCCTTGGTGAAGAGATTGTTAGCTGTGAATTCTTTTGTCTGTGAATGAATCTGCAACATTTCCTTCATCTGTTCTAACCTGCAGTTTACACTTCGTCATCCACTAAAATAAAACAGTTGAATTTATTGAGATGGTTCTAAATTAAAAGTAAACAGTCACTGAATGAGGCAGGTATTTCCATAATAAAATGTTTGCAGTTGGTGAATTTTTGCAAAGATTTAGGTTGCTATGATGCTTTTTTTTTTTCTTTCGGTTTTTAGATACTAGCCTAGGATTTAAATACTGGAGGTAGCTATAAGTAAACTCTAAATGAATACGTATCATTATAGTCATTGATCTATATTTTCAGTCTTATTTGCAGTAGTAAAACAGTATGCATAAAATGAGTATTTAATATCATTAAATACTGAATGCATCATTCAGTATTTTAGGACATCTACACAGGTCAAAATAAATTGGGATTGAAAGGATTTAAGAGCATACATTAATTACAGAATAAGAAATTACTCCTCCAATTTCATCTTGTAAATATGTATGTACTTGGAGTAGCTGCATAATCCCTTCAGTCTTCCTTCCACTTCAGTTTTACACTGAGTTGTGAACAGTGCACAGCTTTCTGCTCACCCCTTGCACGTACACACTTACAGCCACCCACATCATCTTGTTTCATTTATGGAACCAGTTTTAAATAACCAAGAACATATTGGAATGCAATCTTCAAACATACTAAAAGCACTGCAAATCCAGCTAAATAAAAATCAAGAATAGGGCTTCCGTTCCTTTCATAGGACACAGAACCAAATGTGCAGCCAAATTATCCTCCCATTAAGGACACATTCTCATTTTTGGAGGAGAAAATCAAAGGAGTCTACTCCAGAAGCATCCAGTCTGTTAAACCCCATTATTGAAATGAACTTAGGAAATGATGACAAACACCTTCCTGTCCCTTCTCATCAGTTCAGAATTTGGAGG